AATAGCTGCTTGTCCAATGCCGCCAGTACCTGAATGTATAAGTATTTTATCGCCTTTCTTCATTTTTCCATAAATATATAGAGCAAGATAAACCGTGCTGTAAACGCATGGAACTGTCGCCGCCTCTTCGAATGTCCATGCATCAGGTATTTTCCACTGGAAGTATTTATCTTTTACAACAACGTTCGCTATACAACTAGAAACGTACAAAAGAAAAATTTTAATTTAGAGTCCATTCTGTGATATTACACAACTTATTTTTGGAACATTTGTTTACTCAGTGTCATTAAGTCCCATTACACGTTGGCCGTTGATATCGAATCCTACGTATTCCAGTCCCAAGGGCATATATTGAAACAACCGCCCTAGCGAAATCGTATGATTAAGTACTAATTTTCCAGTCGTAATCATTACATCTCTGAAATTGAGTGATGAATAAATCACATACACTAAATTTTCACGGCGAAACTCAACAGACCGATTATTTTCTATCCAACAGAATGTGCTTAGATCACCGCGAATCTATTAAAAAAAAAAACAGCAATTTTTTATGATGATACATGACACCGTGCAAAGCAAAATTTTTTAAGAAATTATGATCATTACAAAATTTAAAACTCAAAATATAGCAAGCAATCTCCGCACCAAATATTTATTGGTCTTATAATACAGTTGTAAACTGAATTCAGAATACGTAATATATATCATAATTAAATTGACAAAATATAAATACATAGTTTAATAATTCGATGCTAATAAGCACCTTTTAAATCTTGTAAAATAATTTATTGCGAAAAATATTATTCTAAGATGTTTATCAAATTAATAAATTACTTTATCAATTTATAAATAATAATTATTTAAAATAGATCGCCTAAACAAATGTTATAAATAAATTTGAGAGCACCTTCTGAGGTTGAGGCTGAATCTTGGTGCCTAATAATATTTCTAATCAGCCATTTAAACAGAGTCCTGAATTAATATCAAACTTGCAATGCAATCACTAGCTAAAGCTGGAATAGTGAAATCATATAATAGATCTTCTATTATAATAATCCGATGCGAATAAGCATCTTAGAACACTAGAAGAAAGAAATTATTGCGAAAAATATTATTTCAGTTAGGGTTTGTACTTGGGATCTTCTGATTTCATCAATTTAATTGTGATATATTAGGTACTTTGAATTCAATTTAGAGTTGCTTTAAAATCGACGAATATTTGACACGCAGTTTGCTTGAACTGAAAATTATAAAACATGTATTATTAAAATATTATTGAAAGTCTAAGATCCGCTTGATCGTGTTAACATTTTCCCATCTCAGTTGTTACAAAATACATAATATTATGTATTACACATTAATAGATTATCGATATATTTGAAAACATTTGTATACCCTTTGGTAGACATGAGCGGTAGGCACAGGTTTAGTTTCCAGTTGTGGTAATCTTAAATGCCTATACGATCCCCAGGTCTCATTAGGTCGCAATACATTAACGGTCATATCTTTTTGCAGCTGCTCTAAATAGAAGGAATTTTGTAAAGAAAATTTAGGAGCCTCCTTATCTTGAATAAACATACTCCTAACAAATTCTCCGCCTGGTTCCTTTCTCAAGCAATTCATGAAACCCAGCAAACCGCATTCAAGGTCTTTCTCTCCAACAATTATAATTCTACTGTTCTTTTCGAGTTTATTCTCATCACTCACAAGCGACTTTAGATCCTCGAGCCAATTAAAGTTATTATTATTTATATAAACAACAATTCTTTTTTCTATCAAAACTTTTCTCTTTAATAGCACAATAGTTTCTTTATCCGTACGCTTCTCAAGAATGACATTTAATTCGTATTGCTGCAAATATTTTGTATAGTCAGTTACATCGCATTTCTCACGCGTCAGTAAATAGCCACCTTCTTTCAAAAACGGCATAAGTCGCTCTAATGAGGTTTGTCGTTTGGTCAAAAGATTAAACCCGGCAACTATTAAAACATTGTCATCTTTATACGCTTTGTTTAAATCTGCGATTGAAATGTTTTGTGGTATTTGTAAATCTGATGAATTAAATCGATTCGGCGATGTTAATAGAGTAATATTCGTTTGTATCAATGGCATGTCATTAAATGCTTCAATAAGCAATGAAGATGAGAGATATTCTAATGAAATATCATCATCATCTTCCACCAGCTCGATGGCTTTTACTTTGATGATTTGATGATCTTCCAGTACGAGTTGCGCCGATATTCGAATTGCTTCATTTAAAGAAATCTCAGCACGATCATAGTGAGCTATAAATATGTGTTCCTCGATAACTGCATCCTGGGCTAATTTTCGGCGATTGATCTGAGAAGCTTTAATTCCTCGAATCTCTATTCCGCCAGCTATAATTGTATCGAGCTCTTTGTATACTCGTATTGGTAATTCTGTAATAATACAATTCAAATAATACGCGTTATAGAGATTCTTTTATACAATATTTATGAATTAAAACAAAACAATTCAAAGTAATTGAGGCATATTTACGTTTATCATTGTTTATCGTAGCTTCTAAGTCGTCAGCGTCTTGTAACTTCATTGCATGAAGCTCAGGATTGATCGCCAATTTCTGAATATTTGTAGGAACGTATAAATTCCTAGTATCATAACCGAAAATATGCATCTGTAACATATTATCTATAAATGTTGCCCAATTGTTTTTCCAAATAATATGTCCTTTTCTTCCTGAAATAGATGCACTCTGTAATCCACGAAACAAGTCGCTATACTGGTACCCGCGCAGTTTCAACTCCTTGTAGATATCTCGTGCGGTCATATGTTCTTCTTCATCATTGTTCTCCGGTAATAGATCTGTCGGGGTCATTTCTAGTTCTAAATTCGGTGTCTCGTGCACTATACCTGTCACAACAACACTGTCTCCTTCAGTTATTTCAAACTTACCACCTGTAATATTTATTATTTTTTATTATGCGTATTCTTATGATCATGTCACTTTAGAATTGCTTATTCCATCAATACCTTTCTGAATCGAAATTGTCAATTTTACAACCTTATTTTTAAATAATTGAGTAGCGCGAATAAAGTTTACATCTTGAAATACTATAGGTATTGTTGTATACATTCGTTCTTTTATCATGCCGATAGTTTGCCAGACGAGTGCGAGATAACCAGTCGCGGGTAGCAAATTTCTTCCATCAATTACATGACCGCTAATATACTTGTACTCTTCATTATCTACTAAGATTTCAACTGATCTTTCTCTGGATGTCGTAACCGGTACAAACCAATCTTCAAAATTCGGTACAAACCAATCTTCGGAATGATTCCATCTAATGTGAAATCAAAAGTATGACATACACAGGGTGATTCAGAACAACCCCGGTGTCTTTGTAAAGTATTCTAAAGCAAGTAATGTATTCTTGACTCAATTCTAAGACGATTTTTTCTTTACAAAAATTTTGTCCGAAGCTTAGTTTTCGAATTATAACGAGAAATAGATAGCGAATTACGGTCCGCGTACGGAAGGAAAGCAGGGGCGGCGCGACTTACTGTCCGACGGCAGGCAGTACGTGGCACCCTCGCGACGATCAAGTGACTACAGGCGCGTATAAATATGCGTTTATATTTTCCCTCTCTCTTTTTTACGCACGCACGCACGCACGCACGCACGCACGCACGCACGCACGCACGCACACACACAAATATGTCCACCTCTGTAGCTTCTTGAAAAAGATGGATGAATTTCCATTTTGATGTGATTTCCACATATGAGTGTTTATTTCAATAAATTTTCGATAGTTTTAATACAAACGTCACAAGTTATCACTGACATAAATCAAATAAATAATTAGTTAATTCTTTTTTTTTACAAACCGTGTCACTTCAACATTTCACACTCGATCACATACAAATCCACTTGAAAAAATCACGAGAAATCTACTAATGTATCTACTAATTAATATTCGTTATGTACTTTACAATCACTGTCGATTAATTATCCGTCCACTGAAAAATTACACGAAGAAAGAAACACACGGCGATTTATTAACACACAACCCGATCACTCGACAATAGCAAACAGTCGACTGATTTTAATATCGAATTTATTACTTAATTATTATTAATCTGTGTTGATTAATTATTCGTCGACTAAAAATTCACTCGAGGAAAGAAACACGGGCACTATTTACTAACATACGACGATTTGACACATAAGGCGTTCACTCGGCAATAGCAAGCAGTCGACTGATTTCAATTAATCACATGTTCGCGTTTCGACAGCGCTGCCGAACATAACCAATAAAATCAGTCGACTGCTTGCTATCGTCGAGTGAACGCCTCATGTGTCAAATCGTCGTATGTTAGTAAATAGTGCCCGTGTTTCTTTCCTCGAGTGAATTTTCAGTCGACAAATTTGGTATTAAAGTCAACTGCTTGCTATTGTCGAGTGAACACTTCGTGTGTCAGTAAATCGTTGTGTGATAGTAAATTGCGCGTGTTTCTTTCTTCAAGTGATTTTTCAGTCGACAAATAATTAATCGATACGAATTGATAATAAGTAATAAATTCGATATTAAAATTAGTCAACTGCTTGTTATCGTTGAATGAACGAGTTGTGTGTTCATAAATCGCCATGTTTCTTTCTTCGTGTGATTTTTCAGTGGACAGATAATTAATCAACAGTGATTGTAAAATACGTAGCAAATATTAATTAGTAGATACATTACTAGATTTCTTGTGATTTCTCCAAGTGAATAGATTGTATGTGAATCGAGTGTAAAATATTGAAGTAACACGATTTGTAAAAAAAAGAATTAACTAATTATTTATTTGATGTGTGTCAGTCAGTGATAACTTGTGACGTTTGCATTAAAACTATCGAAAATTTATTAAAATAAACACTCATTACGTGGAAATCACATCGAAATGGGAATTCATCCATCTTTTTTGAGAAGCTACAAAAGTCGACAAATGTTTAAAAGGTAAGGTTGTGTGCGTGCATGAGTGTGAGTGTGTGTGTGTGTGTGTGTGTGTGTGTGTGTGTGTGTGTGTGTGTGTGCGTGTGTGTGTGTGTGTACATGTGAGTATGAATTTATAAATAATTATGGTTAAAATACGAGGGTCATTTGAAAAGTTTCCGACCTTATCAACATAAGTAACTGTAGAAGAAAATTTCTTTCGCCGTCCGATAGATAGCTTTGACATATGTAAACCGTAAAAATTTGAAGTCATTCTGATCACTGTCTAAGGCAACTCTCCAAAGTTGTCAGCTGACATTGTCTGTCGGCTGACAATGGAGGAAATCGAGTATCGTGCAGTGATAAAATTCCTTCATTTGAAAGGGAAAAAGACGCAGGCTATAAAAGATGAGTTAGACTCGGTATACGGTGAAGCCTCTCCTTCATTTACAACGGTCAAATTGTGTGGCCGAGTACAAACGTGGTCGTACGAGCATTTTAAACGAGAAACGTTTCTGGCGCCCGAAAATCGCTACAACTGACGAAATGATCGATTTTGCATCAAACTGTGATGGAAGATCGTCGATTGACTGTTAAGGATATTGCTGAGGCTTGTGGGATATCATCTGAACGGGTGCAAGTAGGGTGGGTGATTTTACAGAGATTTTACATTAAGAATTGGATATGAGAAAATTATCCGCGCGCTGGGTGCCGCGCTTGTTGACGATCGACCAAAAGCGCATACGGATGGACATGTCGCGCGAGTGTCTTAGCCTGTATCAAAAAAATCCAGCGGAATTTTTGCGGCGAATAATAACCGTCGATGAAACCTGGGTACACCACCATACGCCTGAGACCAAACAACAGTCAAAGCAGTGGTGTGCGGTGGGGGAACCAACTTCGAAGAAGACAAAGGTCGTTCTCTCTGCAGGAAAAGTGATGGCGACAGTTTTTGGGATTGCCGTGGAATAATTC